AAACCTTCTCTTTAATTCTTTTTGTTCCTCCCAAAAAAAATTATTTCTTATGATATTTTCACTTTAACCTTTGTCTTTTTTAGACCTTAGGATGTTTTTGGTTCTATTAGGTAAACACGTAGGGGCAAAGACCCAAATTAGCAATGAAACGATATATAATTATTTTCTTAAAAATGGTGGAGTTTTGATTGTTGGATTTGTACAACTTTTCGTACAGAAATATAATCACGAAGATTGTTGTATTTAACCGATCGGTTAAAACATTTCATTGATCAATTTAGAATGATTTTTTATTGATTTCATACAGTTAAATAAACCATCCATTTCTGTATTTTTTTTGGTATTACCAATTGATTCAGCCCAAAAAATATTTGATATAAACTCATCTCAGGTTACAAACTGTCTTGTGTAAACGGTATAGTTATATCTGGACAGTTCTAAAATTCTTTTGTAAGCAAGTTTCGAAAGATGGAAATATAATGTGGATATCTGTTAAACATAAATAAAACCAGCAATTACATATTAACATATATTTTAGATAAAGTGAAAACAATAAACATATATTTTTCCTGACAGTAACTCCGTGTTTGAAGGGTAATTTACCCACTTGGTGTAATGATGTTTGCCCTTTGCACACCTCTTAAAAATTCTTATTATGCGTACCATAGAATAACGACTAAATATTTGGGTACAATCACTAATTAAACTAGTAATATTTGGGTACAATCAACATGGTTAGATATTAAAATTCAACGGATAGTTTAATAGATTAGTTAATAGTGACAAAACCTGCTATATTTTATTTGTTTATTTTCTTTGCTTTTTACAGCAAAGATCACGAAGAAGATGTATGAAATCACCCATTAGTCAAACAAAACAGCCGTGGAAGCTTAGACTAACGCGATTCTGCTAGCTGTAAATAAATATAGCCAAGTGTTCTTTCTTGTTTTTAAGTTAAAAGTTATTTATATGTTCACTGATTGTTCACTACACATAACATATGTAAAAATATAAAGTAACTCACAAGCTTAACTAGTATTATTCTAAGTTATAGCTTAGATATACGATTATATATACTTCACATTTCACGCCTAGCAACAATAGATTGATTTTAAAATTTATATAAAATAATTAGATACAAAATAGAATTTGTCTTCACGTTTGATACAATACTTTGATTTGAAGTCACCATTTGACAATTTCTGTCGTTTTATAATTTTTACCGTATTTTGGAATTTATAATAGACGATTCAATATATCAATTGAATATTTTGCCAATTTATTTTAAAAGATAATTGAACTTTTTATCTCGCATTTGGCAAATGTTGCTGCTGATACTTTAGCTAAAATCGGTATTATATCTCTGAGCAACTCCTCCATCGATGGAGTCTGGTTTCTTTTT